CGAGCTCGACGCCGCCGACATACAGCGCGCCGAAGACCCCGAGGCGGGCGCGCTCGACTCCTCGGTCGCCCCACCGCAGGACGACCTTCCGGCCCCTCTTACGATAGAGGAGATAGCCGAGGAGCAACGCGTGGATGACTTCTGCCAAACCGTTTTGGCACGACAGTCAGAGTCCCGGGACTCCGCGTTCTTCGAGGACCACCAAGGGGTGCTCAAACGGAGACAACCCTTCGACGCTGACATCGTTCTGGTGGTGGTACCTCGGACGCTCCGCGCCAGGCTCCTTCGCCTGTGCCACAACCCGGCCATCGCGGGGCACCCGGGCCAGAACCGTATGTACTACGCACTTCGACGCGAGTACTACTGGCCCCACCTGGCCGCAGACGTCGCAGCCACGGTGCGAGGGTGTCGAACCTGCGCGATGAACCGGGTCAAGCTGAGGAAACATCTCAACCGATTGAGGTTGTTTCCAGCTACGAGGCCCCTCGAGAGCCTCGCAATCGACATCTTGGGGCCGCTCCCCAAGACAAAGACAGGAAAACGGTTCCTGCTCGTGACTACGGACCGCTTCAGTAAGCTGACGCAAGTCGTGGCGCTCCGCACGATAACCGCATACACCGTCGCAGTTGCGTTCTGCGAGTCGTGGGTGTTTAAATACGGCGTCCCGCGCACGTTGCTGTCGGAAACGGACCGCAGTTCAACGCCAAGTTCTTCCACAGCACGTGCCGTGTTCTGGGGATAACTAATATGTACACATCCGCATACCATCCCCAGACGAACGGGCAAGTTGAGCGATACAACCGAACGATCGCTGCGATGCTACGCAACTACGTAGGCGAGCATCAAGACGACTGGGACGTGTACGTGGGGCCGCTTACGTACGCGTATAACTCCCACGTACACCGCATCACCGGCACGACGCCGTTTGAGCTCGTGCTCAGCAGACCACCGCCGGAGTTCTCGCTTCGACGACCCGACGGTGACGCCCCCTGCCGACAGAGGGGACCGAGGAACCGAGTTCCTCAAGACCTTGGATTCGACAATCCAGAAGGCCTACGGGAGCCTGCGTCGGACGCAGGCTCGCTACAAGCGCGACTTCGATAAGCGCATACGACGGATCAACTCGCCACTCTGTCCGGGAGAGTACGTATACCTCAACCCCACCGACGGGGGGAAGACTTCGAACAAGCTCGCGTCCCCCGCGGTCGGACCCTACCGCGTCCTCGCGAACGACCGCCGAACCATCACGATCGATCGTGATGGGGTCACTGAGCGGGTCTCCGCAGACCGCTGCGTATACGCGCCACCGCCGACGGACGCGCCACGGGGGAGCACAACAACCCCAGCTGACCTTGCGGACAAGGTCAGAGAGGGAACACAGTACGCTGTCGAGCGACTACTGAAGCACCGAGATATGCAAGACGGAACTATCGAGTTCCTCATCAAGTGGGCGGATTACGACACGCCCACCTCGACTGCGCGGACTCACATCTCGGAGGAGTTGGTGTCTCGGTACGCCCAACGCCTCCGGAGACGCACCGGCATGGACCTCAACTCAAACGTGAACGCGGACGTTCACGCTTGAGGGGGGGGGCCCTCAACTGCTCCTTCGCGGATTAAAACCCCAGCCTGCACGAACAGACTAAAAGGGGAAGCAAAGGAGGACGGTGGACCCTATCGGAGGGTCACAGCCGGGGACGTGTTCAAGTCAAGTCGTCTTGACTTCTCGGACGTCAAGGACGCGAGACATAAGAACAGGACAGTTCGAACTGCCTAAAAAAATGTTGGGCCCTCGTAATGACCGACATTACGAGAACCGCAAAAACCCCGTTCGGATCGGAAAAGTCGGACGACCCCCCCCCGAACAGGATTGCCGGACGATCCGTTAAGTCCAGCAACCACGGCGAGGATGGGCGCCCGATGAACGAGGCGATCAGCGGTGGAATCACGACAGCCCCTCGGTGGGCGGAGCAAGCGACCAAAATGCCCGTCGCTTGTGTCTCGGAATATCCGAGAAGGTGGAGGCTCACGGCGAGCCATCAATCAGCATCCGGGTTAACAGCCCGGCAGAAGACCGGATCATGGTCCTTTCGGTCTGGGTTGTGTGCGAGGAGACGCGCGAAACGCGCAGGCAGACGCGCAGGCGAAAGGAGCGGCGTCAGGAGAACTCGCGCTAGGGCCGTTCAATAAGAGCGAGGAAGCGAGAGCAACTCAGCCAGAGGGGCACCAATATATGCGCACGGACGCGAGGCACTTCAAAACCGCCGCCGAGACATGCCCAGTAATAAGGAAAATTACGGGGGAGGAGAACGTTACACGTGAGCGACGCCGGAAGTGCAAAATTAAGGGGGAGAAATTACAGCAGCACGTGCGCAGCGTCCACAGGTATTGCACTCTATACGATCAGCAAAGAAAAGGCGGACCGCGCTGCGCGAGGGCACAACGGGTACCAGCAGGAGGTACACACGTCCGCCCCCTGACCGGAAAGGGAGGCGGACGGGAGGTTGAATCGTACGCCGGCATCGAGCGGGTGACTCGAAAGCCCGACGCGCCACAAGTCGACCGATCGGCCTTCCTTCCTGGTCTCCTCCTCACGCGGACCGCCGCGCACCGGTTGAGCGAGTGGCCCGAGCCACCCCCCGGCAAGCGACGACGCCCGAGATGGCCACGGCTGAGAAAGAGACGAGCACGAGTCACTCACGCGCTTTCAAGCCCTCGCTACCGAAGTTGAGGGGCGCAGTAAGTTGCGCAACTGATGCGACTGTTCGCCGCAAGGGCGTGATTAAGCCACCGCGCGCACTCCGCACGACGCGTCGTAGTCGCGACGTGAAGTGCGACCACGGATAAAGACGGCTCCGTGGCCGACCACGTCGAGCCGGGTACCCACTTTGAGTTCCGCACCTCGAAAACAACGGAGTTCACATACTCGACGGACGACACGCCGCTGTGCGGGACTTCGACGGGGGTCTTCCCGAAAGGCCCTGTGCTCTTGCCCCAGACGAAGGGCACGCGACGCCACCTCGTGAGACGACTGGCGAGGGGAGCTCGTCACGCCCGCTTCTCTCGAAGAGGCCCCCGACAGTTGCGACGCCGTATCTGCACGCTCTGTACCTCGCCCCTCTCTCTCGGAAGGAGGCCTTCCAGGAGCGACAACGAACAGAAGCGCCGGAAGGCCAACCACGAAGCCTTAGGGAGCGCCATTGCCGAGGACGCTGGACGGCGTCCCGTCTCGTCCGTAAACGAACCGGGACGGGATAAACCGATAACCGGCACAACCGCACGCGCCGACCCCGCCAACACTCCCCGACTGCCCATTTTCCTTCTTCGCGAAAGCGTGCATGGAGACCAAGACAAACCCGCCCCACGTCGGCGCCTAGGGCGGAACGGAATGAGGTATCGCCCGAGCACCGACGAAACGAGACGTCACAATTTGTCGCCAGCAACGGCGTGCCCGTATGAACGCCAGTACGAAGGTAGGACTCCGCGCACCAGACGCCGCAGAGGTGAGAGAAGGTCCGTCCGCCGTTGCACAAGACGTTGCTCTACGAACCGATGCGGTCAATTGTCGTTACATTATGACGGAGCACGTGAACGAGCAGCCAGCCCGAACGCACCCTCTCGCCAGGATCTTGGTTGAGCCACGGAAGGTGGCAAAATCTCGACGACATAAAAGGGGTAAGGGAAACCGAAGGGGGACTGCGACCAGCACGCGCCAGGAGTCGAGAAGGCTGCGTTATTATCCTCACCGTCTTCTTGGGCAAGGTTTGGTACCCCGACACAAGCGCTGCCTTGACCGCCGTCGTCATGCATGCCGTTTTTGACCTTGTAGAGGAAACTGCGGGCGTTTGCAGAAAGAAAAATTGCCCTGCTGTCAGGGTATATGGAAAAGGAGGCGTGGACGGACATTCGGGTCGTCGATGAAGACGTGGTCCCGCAAAAGTGCTAGGGCAAAGATAGACGAGTACCATTGGCCCTGAACGACAGGGGAAGCGTCGAAACAGAAAAAAACGAAGGGCCCTCGCAAACGGCGCCATTGCGATCGATGAACGACTGACACAGTCCCCGTTAGGCATGGTGAATGACCTGACACTCGGCAAAATCGAAAGGGCAAGGGGAAGGGCATCCTCCATTCGAAAATGGGCAGCCAGCGCAAGACGCCGGGGAGGACACGATATTTTGCGTACGTACAATATATTGATACGTATCAATATCCACCGGCTGCGAGAGATCCGTTTTGCATTGCATTGGATTATTCGTGTGAAAAACTCGATGTTGCGTAGCATACAACTGACTCGCACATCATGAAGAAGCGGAGCGACGCAAAGATCTCGTTACTCAGAGTAAGGGTCAAAACGGACCGACTCTTAACGGTCCTGCCGGCATGAGGACCGAGAGAAGGCCAAAACATTCGTTCTGAAGACATCGCGGTAGTGTCTTTGGAACGAGCCCAATGAGTTGTGGCGAAGACGGCACGCACTCAGCAATACGGAAAGAATCAGGGTGAGTCGACGAAGGGTTCCGGTCGCGCTCGACGCGCCCCCACCGAAACCCGGACCTCGATTCAAGAGGGTGCTGTAGCATGCATCGTCCGCGAACGGACGACCGAGATCATAAGTCAGAGGACCGCCGCGTACGACAAAAGTGGGACCTCGAGTTCCCCGAGCGTCGCTATAAACCCCCAAACGCAACATGCGTCTGCTTCCAGAGCATGCACACGTCCTCGGCACGCGGGCGACGTGAGGAGGATCGCGAAGAGCGACGGGCATGGTGCTGTACGCGGGTGGGCGCCACCAGGTTATAATATTTGGCAATTTTTGGCCTACTGGTGACAGCGCACCAATCATATATCGTTAAGAGACTTTTGCCAAAAATGTGCCATTGCAATTTTTTGGTGAAGCACATCGCACTGTCGCTGGCGCACACACGTGTATAGCGCACGCGCAGTACGCGCCACACGCGCCGCGTCGGTGGCCGACGCCACGCGGAAAGGAGCCGCCGCGACAAGAACCGGTTAGGGAACGCGTCAAGAGACGGGAATAGGAAGATCGAGGCGCGTGGACGATACGCCCCGAGGACCATGGGCACAAGGATAAACACACGCCTATTTTGTTCCCTCGCGTGCCGCATGCAAGCGCGGGGGCGCCGTGAGACTTCAGGTAAGGAGAAAAGAGCCTCCGTTGCGGTACAGGTATAATTGTAGGAATGGCACGCACGAATTCCCGTGCGTGTGCGGTGAGTGTTGGAAGTGGGTTTTGTACTGTAGTCGACTCCAGTGTGAACCGTGGCCACAGAACGGGGACATCCCGCATTTTACATGGCCAGCGTCGGTGCCCTACTCTCCTGATCCTGTATCGCGATCCTCGGGGGGCATGTGAGAGCCTCCTTAGCCCCGTCCCGGGACCCATCGACGTCTTCAATTTATATATCAAAAACAGCGCGGTCGGCTTTCGCATAGGGACATCGGAGGTCCCGGGACGACTAAGGTACAGGCGTGGCCGAAATATGCCTGTCCCGCGTGGAGGAAACTTTCGGACTTCTGGCGATGGCAGCGGCGCGGTCCGCATGATGAGGCCGATCCTAAAGGCAAGTCGATGAGTCAATGATGCGACGGAGCGTCGGAGGCTAACGCAAGAAGAACTAACCGAGACGAGAATTTAAGAGGGAGTCGTTTGGGAGGCGGAAAATCCCTGGGAGGATGAGACTCGAATCTCGAGGGACACGCGGGAAAGGCGAAAGTCCACGCCAACGACGGCGTGCGAGCAGAAGGAGCACGAGCACGGACGAGTGTCGGGCAGGGCACGAAGGATAGCGACCAGAGGGCGAGGACACCGGCACGAATGGGATGCATCGTATCAATGACACGGTCGGACATGGCACTCTCCTTACAAGCACCCGTGGACGCGGACGTCCTCGCTTAAGGGGAGGGCCGTGTGGTATAACCCCCCCCTGGGGCCTTATTTTAGATTAGATCAACTCAGAATCGGATCAGTTACTGTAGGGCTCGATGCTCTACAGTACCACCACGTGTACCCCCAGGCACAGGGGGCGCACGTGTACACGTGTACGCGCGGAACGGAAGAGCGCACACACACGTGTACTGTCAGCCACGACCTGACATCTGCTTCAAGCTAGCCAGATACTGTAGATCCGTGCCACGCGAATCCTCTCACCGATATTGTCGAGTCGTCTGAGCGATCCGCACGTTCATGAGTCAACCTGGTTTACCGCGACTCCAATATCCCAATCTTGGTAAGTTTGAATGCGTGCGCATGGGAAGATTACATGTTGGAATTGCAATGAATTCACAAGAATGAAACCAAGATCCGTGTATGAACAGTGTACTCCTAAAGTAGCGTTCGTCCATTTTGCTGGGATCCATGCTGACGTGATGGCCTGCTACTTTCCCGCAGGCGTCAACTGAAATTCCTCCAAACTCAGGAAAAAATGCACGAATACCACCACCCCACCCACCTAAGTGTATATATGACGCCTTTCAGTTCAAAACATCTTGAATTTTCCCATTACCGTAAGATCCATCTATAGCAGTGAGCACGCAAACCCCCCGACCCAAGCCGCGTCACTGAACCATGCCCCCTCCCACTCCTACTCTTGGCGCACGATCGTCGCAGAATCCCCCTTCTCCGACTCGCTCTTTCTCCCCTCTTTCGTCCCCCTTGCTCTCCCAACCGCCGCTTTCCCTGTCTCCGACAAGCCGACCTGGAGACCTTCATCTTCTCCCGTGCACTGTCGATCAATACTTTGACCTCCCGAACGCCGCGGACAACAAGTACGAGTTGGTTGAAGGAATTCTTTGGTGGAAGAGCGAGATGGCAACACATAGCCATGACGAAATTCGCAATCGCGTTGCTGCCGAAATAGGTCGATTCCATATCGCCGAGAATCTGGTTGTCAGCACAGAAATGGGCTTGGAAACGTCCGGCTTAACTACGCCTTCCGGCTCATCACACAATGCCTCAGAAAAATCTTTACGGTCCATTCGCCGCCCGGATGTCATTGTCAGTCAACGGGATCACGGACTCCGCAGATGTGATCTTTCTCCTCAATCGAAGAAGATATCTTTCCCGAGAAATCACCCCCCTCTTCTTGCACTGGAAGTGACAAGCCCGTCCACGCGCAGTGCAGATCTGACGAGTAAGCGGGAAGAGTACGCAAAAGCGGGGGTGCGTCAGTACGTGATTATTGATCGCGCGACGGCGACCCCAGCCGTGATTGTGGGAACTTTGAACAGCAACGGAAAGTATGTGCAAGAGACATATCGTGGGGAAGAGATTGTCCGTGGGGGATTGCTGGACGGAATGAGCTTTTCTGCAAGCTACTATCTCAACCCTCCGCGAGACGTCCACACGATCCAGAACTCTCCGATCAAAGAGAAAGATCGACAACTCAAAGAGAAAGATCGACAACTCAAAGAGAAAGATCGACAACTCAAGGAAAAAGAGCAAGGAAATGAAGAATTGCATAGACAACTCAATAAACACCGCGCAATGTCGAAGAGGCGCAAAACAGAGCTGGAAGCGCTTGGAATTTCGGTGACGGAAAGCAGTGAAAGCCCCACCGCCTCACCAAATAGGAGAAGCGCTTCGTCTTCCAAGAGGAAGAGGAATTGAGGCACACAGACGCTTGCTGTGTCTGTGTGATACAGGACGTTGGTTAAGGCAGGATACCACCGAGACAAGAATACCGCGCAGTTCGGGCTTATGTGCCGCGACGAACTGCTGGCGCATCACTTGGGTGGTATCAGCGCAAACTTTAACGCAGCGAACAATACATGACGTATCACGTTTCTTCGACGAGATTCGACGCATTGTCTGTCAACATGTAGCCCTTTCAGTGCGGACATAGCTATCCCTGTATGAATATACGTCGTGAGCTTGTGGCAAGGACGGACGGAGAGGTTGAGCCGTGGTGGTCGAGAAATATTGGGAACCCGAAGCCCGAACGTACCCCGTCTTATCACCGAAAGAAGCGGGAGGTTTCCCTCGTGTCGCCTACTCTGCATCCGGGCCACCTTGTGTCGCTCCCCCCGTCGTATATACTGCAATGTACTAAAAAGAAACCTAAATGTATTTTCCTTTGGATCAAGATGTATGCCCACTTTGCATCGTACCTCGACACTGCAACGGATGGCTCGGCGGTCTCTTCAATGGCTCAGTTTTGATGTTTTCGACCACATGCAAAGTTGAACGAGTGAGTCAACATTGGTGCCTTCAAATGCAGCCGGTTCTGCATTGTTGTTGGGGTAAAAACGTGGCCAGCGGGAACATCACGTCCCGCAATAAGGAATCCATGCAAAACCCTGAACGGGTGGGAAACGTTTGCAGTCAGTGTTGGGCACAAGGTAGACGTAACTCCCCAGGACTGAAAGTCTCAGGCGAAGGCTTGTGCGCCAGAAGTGCGAGAACGGCAGTTTGATCTGAGGTTCAACTTTGTGAAATCAACAGCCCCAGGCGCCCCAGCAGCTCTGCTCTGTGGCCTTTCAGTTCAATCTCCAATGCGTATGTCGAACAAGCATTGCTAAAGATCACTGGCCTCATGAACAGAATACATCTGCCCTCGCTACCTCCCCTGATCGAACATTCCCCCCGCCTCAAAGAGATCAGCATAGGGACGTCAAGCCCAAGGCTGTCCCGGTGGCGACTAACTTGCTCGCTCAGCCCGCAGCCCTCAGCCCTGTCGGTGCTTGAAACGACCCGGCCGGTCTGGATCAACTCCCGTGCAAGCATGATCGCGCTGAATTCATCAGTCAACCCTTTGTCGTCGTCCCGAAGTTCGTGAGCCGGCTGAATAGTATACTTTACTGAGTATAGCAGTCGCTATAAATGACAGGCGCCCATGATTGTCTTCCAAGTCCTTCACAATAGGCAGCCGTAATGTAGAGTGTTTGAACTTCTACTCACGAGGTTGCGCCATGAACAAGAGCGCGGTGTTGTAGTGGATTTATGGAAAGGGGGTGGAAGCAGCCTTGCAGGCACAAACACACACACGAGGCAGTTTTAGCGTGGCGGGACGCTATTGATCTCCGGGCTGTTTCGATGGCTGCTGATCTGTCCCATGCACAGCCCTAGCGAATTTTTCCGACACGGTGAGTGCCACGAAAGCCAGCAGGTGCAGGGCACCTGGATCAAACGTTTGGCACGCGCTAGCTCATTAGCTGCGCCGAGAAGAGACCGCCCAGCTCCACGACCTGACATCTGCTTCAAGCTAGCCAGATACTGTAGATCCGTGCCACGCGAATCCTCTCACCGATATTGTCGAGTCGTCTGAGCGATCCGCACGTTCATGAGTCAACCTGGTTTACCGCGACTCCAATATCCCAATCTTGGTAAGTTTGAATGCGTGCGCATGGGAAGATTACATGTTGGAATTGCAATGAATTCACAAGAATGAAACCAAGATCCGTGTATGAACAGTGTACTCCTAAAGTAGCGTTCGTCCATTTTGCTGGGATCCATGCTGACGTGATGGCCTGCTACTTTCCCGCAGGCGTCAACTGAAATTCCTCCAAACTCAGGAAAAAATGCACGAATACCACCACCCCACCCACCTAAGTGTATATATGACGCCTTTCAGTTCAAAACATCTTGAATTTTCCCATTACCGTAAGATCCATCTATAGCAGTGAGCACGCAAACCCCCCGACCCAAGCCGCGTCACTGAACCATGCCCCCTCCCACTCCTACTCTTGGCGCACGATCGTCGCAGAATCCCCCTTCTCCGACTCGCTCTTTCTCCCCTCTTTCGTCCCCCTTGCTCTCCCAACCGCCGCTTTCCCTGTCTCCGACAAGCCGACCTGGAGACCTTCATCTTCTCCCGTGCACTGTCGATCAATACTTTGACCTCCCGAACGCCGCGGACAACAAGTACGAGTTGGTTGAAGGAATTCTTTGGTGGAAGAGCGAGATGGCAACACATAGCCATGACGAAATTCGCAATCGCGTTGCTGCCGAAATAGGTCGATTCCATATCGCCGAGAATCTGGTTGTCAGCACAGAAATGGGCTTGGAAACGTCCGGCTTAACTACGCCTTCCGGCTCATCACACAATGCCTCAGAAAAATCTTTACGGTCCATTCGCCGCCCGGATGTCATTGTCAGTCAACGGGATCACGGACTCCGCAGATGTGATCTTTCTCCTCAATCGAAGAAGATATCTTTCCCGAGAAATCACCCCCCTCTTCTTGCACTGGAAGTGACAAGCCCGTCCACGCGCAGTGCAGATCTGACGAGTAAGCGGGAAGAGTACGCAAAAGCGGGGGTGCGTCAGTACGTGATTATTGATCGCGCGACGGCGACCCCAGCCGTGATTGTGGGAACTTTGAACAGCAACGGAAAGTATGTGCAAGAGACATATCGTGGGGAAGAGATTGTCCGTGGGGGATTGCTGGACGGAATGAGCTTTTCTGCAAGCTACTATCTCAACCCTCCGCGAGACGTCCACACGATCCAGAACTCTCCGATCAAAGAGAAAGATCGACAACTCAAGGAAAAAGAGCAAGGAAATGAAGAATTGCATAGACAACTCAATAAACACCGCGCAATGTCGAAGAGGCGCAAAACAGAGCTGGAAGCGCTTGGAATTTCGGTGACGGAAAGCAGTGAAAGCCCCACCGCCTCACCAAATAGGAGAAGCGCTTCGTCTTCCAAGAGGAAGAGGAATTGAGGCACACAGACGCTTGCTGTGTCTGTGTGATACAGGACGTTGGTTAAGGCAGGATACCACCGAGACAAGAATACCGCGCAGTTCGGGCTTAAGCGCCGCGACGAACTGCTGGTGCATCTTTGGGGATATCAGTGCAAAGTTGCAGCGAACATTAGCCACTTGTTACCCGCAAAAAAAACCCCAAGGACATGACAACAATCAACTGGATAATATTGTGGTGATGCTGGTGTCGATACGGATGGTGGACAAAACTGATTTCTAGTTTCGAGCGTGACGGGTTCAATATTCGATCCGACAGTTTCAAACGCGGCAATGAGATTCGTCAACCAACGTTCGATTGGGTCCGCAATCTTGTACCTGTTGTTGCTGTGGATATCCAGATGGGGGAGCAATTAGCGCTTGCGCCGGTACAGGTAATGACGGAACTTCTGGTACGACTGAAGTCATGTGCAGGAGGGCTGCGTAAGCGTCGGGAACCCCCATCTGCAAGTCGTGATCAAGACCCTCGCCGATACCTTGAAGCAGCTCAGGGAGGGCCATGTCGCCCAGGTCGACTGACAAAGAAAGGTCAATCTGTGGCTCGGAGGTGCAGGTCCCGTAGATCTCGCGGGGACAGCCGTGTGGACATCTTGGGGAGCGTCCGCGGTCGTTCCTAATGCAAGAGCGTGTTGATTCATTGTGGAGTGGCGACGCAGACTTGTCTCGTAATCGATTAAGGGGTTAGGAAAATAAATCATCGACAGGATAAGCTTGAAAGCACAATGCGCTTTTTTGGATGGCATGCGTCCGGTAGGTTACGTTAGTACGCCGGAGGATGTCGCCAGTGCAGTTGACTTCCTACTTGACGAGTCCAAATCAAGTTGGGTCACCGGTGCCATTTGGGACATTGACGGAGGAGTCATGGCTAGAAGGAACTAGCCCGGACTATAGAACGATTCTGAAAGCGAGAGAATCGTATCGAGGGTTTCCTAGTACTAGAAAACCCTCGACCACGTGGCCAAACTTGCAATATGTGTGACGAGTAAACTCTCATCCTGCATTTACTGAGCCATGTAGTACGCGGCGTCCTCCGCAGCGGCGGCGAGGGTGGGTTGCGTGTGTTGGTGATGGGCCAGGTGGGGTTGCGAGTGAGCGACCGGCTGATGCTGGCGGTGCGAAGAGACATGCTGCGACGAGGATGTGGACGGATGCGGATGTGAGAGACGGTCGCGGGTGGACATGGTTGCGGTGATGCGTTTGTGAGGTGATGGACGAAGAAGTCCATCGGACGTGGAGTCGGATGGTGATGGTGGTGCTGCTGAAACGCAATCCGGTACAGTACGCAAGTTTCCAGCAGGTGTCATAAAATTCTGGTTGAGAATTCCTTTGTGCTCCTTGACCTAGATACAGTAGATACCCTTCGAAGGGTATCTGGATTTGCTGTGGTTCACAGCAATATGATTTTGTCACCTTTGTTCGGGTATCACAGATTACCCACACTTTTACAGAGAAACTCTGGTCTCAGTGCAGAGGGCAGAGGTCAATGGTGCTACCGGAGAAAAAAAAAGTGCCGTCTCAACCTGCTCGTTGCGGCTGCAGAAAGGCCGATGTTTGAACCTCTGCCATCAAGAGGGTCAGCTGGAAATCGAAAGCTCGGGGGGTTGAGCTGCTCGCTGTAACTGATGGGATGCTTCTTGGTGATGTTGCTGCTGTTGATGGGAAACGATTTCGTGGCGACCTTCATGAGGGTTGATGGGTTGTTGCAGTTTGCCATGGGCACTGACAAACAGCCTGGGATGCTTGGGGTGCATATGTTGTCGAGAGTCAGAATCTGTGATGATGGGTAACAGACAGATGGGTTGGTGTTTACTCAAACGAGGGGAGGGGGAGATGCAATGGCTGCGGTAGCTAGAGTTGGTAATAGACTTTGTACGTCCGCTGGCTATATAAAACACTTGTTGTCGAGGTTGTAATTGTGATTGTGGTTGTGGTCATGTTATGTACAGTGCGACATCACTGAAAGAATGGTACCAAGTTTACTGTGTGTCTGTGTCTGTCTGCGTTCCTTCCTCCTCCCGAGTGTCCGTTCGCACTCATTTAATATGCGCAATAACCCAGCCATACAAAGGGGTTATTCGCTAGCGCACCCAGCACCTCCTGAGGTGCCTGAGCTCGGTCTCCCCTGATTCTTCCAAGTGCATTACAGCACTGTCATGGTATGCCAAATAAAATACCAACACCGTCCCTCGATGAAGCACGAGAATCTTCGTCGCTTCAGCGTCGATGTCGCCGTTCTCACCTTTGACTTGAAGAGCTTGTATGTACTCGGACACGTCTTTTTCGCTGTGGGGCTCGATTTGGCTTGCTACTGCCCCGTGCTATGCAAGACCTTTGAAGGCTCCACGGTGGAAAGAAATGCTCCATGTACTTGCATGCTATGGTCATACGTGGTGATGGCGTTCGACTTGGAGTTGATATTCCGGGGGTTTGCACACATAGTGTGCACTTGTCATCCAGGCGCCCCTGGGGTTACTGCACTGCATTTGGCAGCGTCTTCATCAGTCTAATCTGGTTTCCTTGCGGATAGGCGGCTTCTTCCTTGCGGAATGGTTAACAAAAAACTGCGCCTAGGCGTCTTCTTCACTTAACGTGGATCCAGGCAAACAACAAGTATTGCCTTCTGAGGAGGGATGTCTATTGTAACATAAGGTTACAAAACAGAAACCATTTATGAAGTTAGTGCCATTAAAACCCTGAGTCAGGGAAAAGGTACACCATGGCTTGAACATAATCCTAATCATGTGCAATCTGAGAATCGTTTGCGATGAGTATTCCGCAACTGTGCATACAATTTGTCTTCTGCGATTACATTGCAGCAAGGATGTCTGGCGTATTCCGTCCCTAAGGTCAAAAGCGCATTAGAGGGTTCAAGTCTCAAGAAGAGAGGTTAGTACGCGGTGCTCGGTGATGTGTGTGCTTACCAAGAATGATATGCGATATTAAGGATTTCTGAAAGTCGTTGCAATGTTCCCTTGTCCAATGGTTTTGTAAGTAGATCTGCTGGTTGCCTGATGGAAGGTATGTAGTGCAGTTCGCAAACACCCCTCTCTAAAAGTTCCCAAATGTGGTGAACCTTGATACCAATGTGCTTATTTCTCTGCTTCACTTTCTTATTTGTCGCGAGTGACTGAGCCGCAGTGCTATCAGTGAAGATTTCTGTCCCTGGAGTTTTTGGATCTTCTTGGCACGTTTGTCCGGTCATGAACTCTTGAAAGAGTCTTCGCATCCAAGTGACAGTTTTCGCACAGGCAGATACCGCAATATATTTTGCTTCCGCAGAAGAAAGTGATATCATCGATTGTCGTTTCGAGTTCCATATTACGGGTGTTCCAAAAACTGCACCAATTATTCCGGATGTCGACCTGCGTGTGTCTAAGCATCCTGCCCAGTCAGCGTCAGAGAAGAATGAGAGTTTGGGTTCGTTGCCGCTTGGAGCATGTAATCTAGTGTTCCCAGCGCATACTTCATCACCCTCTTGGCTAGAGCATAGTGTCTTTGTGTGGGTGCATGCACGTTTCTAGCCAATATTCCAGCTGGGAACTACAAGTCAGGTCTCGTACAGACGGCTGCGTAAAGTATTCCTCCAACAATGGAGCGGTACCTTTTGTGCAAGAATGCATCTAGCATCGTATCTCCTTCATGTGCGGCGGTTAAGTCGGTGTTTGATGGAAATGGCGTTGGAGATGACTCCAAGTGTGAGAGGTTGTTTTCCTCAACCAGATTTTTCAGGTATTTGGATTGGTCCACATATAGACCTTGTGCATTTCGTTTCACTCTCCAACCAATGAAAGATTTTAGGGTTCCAAGTAGCTTGATCTTGAACTTTGTGGACAGTTGTTGCTTAAAATCATTTATCAACTGCTGCGAGCTTGATGCGAATACCATATCATCGACGACGATGAGTAGGATCATGTAGTGGCCTGAGCTTGGACGGAGAAAGTATGTGCGCTCGTCGACGGAGGATTGTTTGAAGCCAAGGTTCAAAACGAAGAAATGAATAACAGAACCCCATATCTCTCCTGCTTGGACGGCGCCATACAATGAGCGGCGAAGTCGGCATACATAGCCAGGGCATTCTTGAATGCCAGAACTGTCTGTTGGTTGCTTCATGATAATCGGTACGTCCAAGTCGCCATAGAGGTAGGCATTGACGACATCGTCTCCTTCGATTATGAGGTTCCAACTGGCGGCTACAGCAAGGAGTAAGCGAATCCTTCGTGTCTTGCCACCGGAGCATACTTGTTCAACGGATCGTAGTCAATATAGGGGCGTTGCTTATCTCCATGGAGACAGCATCTAGCTTTGTAGATTACTTCATGAAGAGCGCCGGGTGATTCCTTTCTCCGAAAGTCCCAGATGAACGGTACTGGACTCATGCCTGGTTGCATACGAACGTACTCCCAAGTCTGAAGTTCCTTCATGGCTTGATATTCACGATCAATAGCCTCTGCCCATCGCGGGTCTTTACAAGCTTCTTCAAAAGACTTTGGTATTGCTGGGTCTCTCTTCACTTTCAGTTAAACACAGGAAGGTCAAATTTATGATAAATCAATTTTTGGACAGATATTTTACTGTCTAGAGGGGGTAAATTGCTGTTTTTGGAAAAACAGCACAAAATCTGTTTTAGCGTGCTGTCATAGGACAGCAAAATCAGTGCCAAAAGATCTGTCTGCCAATGGATACTGAGACAGCTTTTAGAGCCGTCCCTTTGCTGTCGACAGCAAAGGGACGGATGGAGGGCCCGGTCATGAGAATAAGAGTTGGAGGTGAATTTTTCGTCCGTGCCTGCTGTCGCTTGCACCGTGATTTCTGTCACGGTGGCTAGGTCATGCTTGTGAAGAAACCACGGTCAGCTATTTAAATTTAAGACATTCTATGGGAGCACATGTGATTGGAGGACTGAGTAGGAACGGTGGAAGCGAGCAGAGCCAGACAATTGTATGCCATTGATAGGTTCAGTATATTGGCTCAGGTATGTCTTCTGTAATGCGGCAGTGAACCTTTGTGAAAAACTAAGCTTTCCAATGTCGATCTCCGGAAAGTTTAAACATTGCATGACAAAACCTCGTCCACGCTTTTCAAAAATATTTAGTCGAAATCTCGCGCCTTCTCGAAAGCTCGAAACTTCCGGATTAAGAGTTGTGCTTCTATTTCTATTTAACTCAAGCTCCGGGTTGGTTTGCCGGAACCCTGAATCTGGGCAGCTCACTCATATAACGATATCCTGGTTTTCTACAAAGAAAGCGCTGCGTACCGCCTCTCAAAGGAACGCTGGCTCCAGCAGTACTACATTACTTCTGCAACTGTCGTTTTTTTCATGGAGCTTCCCTTGCCACTTCATCGGCTTGTCTGAGAGCATAATTCCTGCACCTGCGCTTTTCTTTCACGCAAAAATCTTCTGAACCCGTGCCTTCCTGCCACTCTCCTCGCCCCTATTCACCCTTCCAGACTATCTCCACTCTCCTGCCATCCTGGCCCCTCCGTCTTGCTATCCGCCCCCCTCTATCTTGCCATCGGGCCGATCTCTTTCCTGCTATCCGGCCCCCTGCTGTTCTCCAGCTCCTCTTTTTCCGATACCCTGACCCTCTCTCTCCTATTCTCTTACCTCTTGCCACTAACCCTCCTAACTCCTTCAACTCTTGCTATCTTACTCTTTCCCATCCTGTCACCTCACTCCCTCCATCCTTCCGCCCACCATTTCCGATCTATCTATCTCGCACCCTCTCCTCTGCCATTCTCCTCTCACCCTCTGGCTACAGTACCCCTCCCTCCCGCTATCCCGCCCTCTCCTGCTATCCCGACCAATCTCTCTTGCCATACGACTCTCCCCCCTTCTGCCATCCGTCCAGTCCCTCGTGTGCCATACATCCAGTCCTTTGTGTGCCATCCAGCCCCCGCCTAGTCATCTATCCGTTCTCATTCCTCTCACCACGTCCCATTTTTTCCATTCTGCCATCTTCTCACTTTCAAAATCCCATCCCATCCCATTTCTTTCTTATCTCGTTTCCGTTCGGGAATTCTAAATCCTATCACCTTTCCATTGTGTTCTGTGACGTCTCTTGAGGGCTGACTATCAATCAAAGATTACTCTCACTAATTCCTTCAATTAATTTTCATTGAAAAGATCCATGGTTTCCTGTCCTGCTACAGTCCCGAAATTCGGAACTACATCGAGCACACTGGAAAACGGCTTGCAAGAAGTTTTAAGCAGCGCGGATACCGAGGTTCTGGATCTCTATTTTGGCGAACAACAGTGCAGTGACGAAAAAATCGAGGCGTCAAACCGGATTGCAGCTTTTTGCTGCGCCTTTTCGGGAATGGAGAGATACGTGAAAGTATGACATATGCTATGGGGGAGAATGAACACAATTTGGACGCTGCGGCGAAGGAAATGGCTGAGAAAAAAGTATCGGAGTTTATTGAAATCGACAGGAAAGCTCAAGCGGCATACGGAATTCACAGGGATCGCTTCCCCACATCCATATGGTATTGTTGCAAGAAGCTCTGCTTTCTAACAATCTCAATGGACCCGCTACAGATCCAGCTGTTAGATGAGCTAATTCTGATTCACAACCACGCAAATAGGTGCCATGCCGCACATGAGCAACTAGACGCACAGATTGAGACGAGACGCCGCGGTGTAGGGACTTCGACAATTGCCTTTGTTTCACACTCGAGATCTGAAAGGGAGGCCGCCTCGGGACAAGCGCATGGCACTGCGCGTCAGAAGGCATTGCGGGAGTTTGCAAGTTTTGTATTAGAGGTCTTGCCGTTTCTCTACGGAAAGAGTGACTCCCCCAAAGGAACGGCACGCCCGAAGCAAAAACTGTGTACACAAGCTATATGCT